ATTACTATTTTTGAAGATTTTCATATTTTCTATTATTTTTAAAAGATTCATTAATTACGGAATTATTGAAAATAATTGTAACAATATATAATGATCTATATAAAATATATATGTTTTTAACAAAAATTTAATAACTTTGTTAATGATTTTCCAGTTTTTTTAAAAAAAAAGCTCTCTATTACATCAAAATATAGTATTTGTTAAATATCTGAATGAAATTTCTAAACAAGTTAATATATAAATTATTGAAAAGATACAATTTGAAATATATCAATTTTTCATAATCTTTTTATATAAAATTATCATATTTCAAATTGTATCTCCTCAATAATTTACATATTAATTTGTTTAGAAATTTCACTCAGATATTTAACAAATACTATATTTTAATATAATAGAGGGCTTTTTTTAAAAACTAAAAAAAGAATTTACTAATTTCCTCAAAGTTCTAATTGATTAAGGACATTAAAGGATAATTTTAGTATTAGGATTAAGGATTAAGATTATGACTGGAGAAAAGATTATATGTGAAATTGTCTCCCCGACATTTTTTATTAGTGCTTCAAACCAGGATTAAGCATTTGTTTTCTGTATTTTTCACATTATTCGTCTTTTTAATTTTCTTGTATCGGATTATTGATGCATCTTTATTGGTTGATTTAGAAGACCCGGTGTGCAATCAACCAATCAGCGATGGAATTACTTGTGTCCAATCAGAACTTGGGGAGGAAATTAGTAAACTCTAATAAAGTTATAGATTATTCATATACTGCATATATTACACAAAAATTTGGTCTAATCATTTTACAAATGAAATTATATCTACATAGTGGAACAAATACCCCAACGTCGAGATATTACCCCCCCAAATTAACTGATTCATTTTGTTGATGTTAAAAAACGAATCGGCTACTTTAGGATGCAATATTTTGACGTTCAATGATCCGATTTGAAAATACCAACACTCGAATTGTCTTGTCTAGTCGAGACGAATCGAATGGTAGTATTTTCGCTCAAATCGGATCATTGGACGTTAAAGATTAGATTATTGTATATCGAGATACGTGTTATGAAATGATTGATTGTATTGGATACAATGACGTTCAAATTGTAACCAGAGGATATTTTACAGGAAAAAAAGGTACACAACCAGTTTTAAAAATTTCTAAAATCGGAGTTTTAGGCAAATAGACAAATATTTTATCTGTTTGTCTAATACATCGGTATATTTAGCATCGTGATTTATGTTTTTAAGAAAAATCCACCCATTTAAATATTAACGGCGGGGTTGATTGTACAGTCAGGGCTCGATTTGACGACACAAATGTTTTGAACAATTACAATTTTTCACGAATTTTCATAAATTTATACTTCTTAGTATCCAATAAGACAGGGATCTATCTTAAAAATGACACACCCTTTATTACTTTATTAAGACAGATCTATATCGGTAATATTATTTAATTAGTTATCAATGCTATTTTCTATATCAGGGGATATTTTATTTTGTCCAGTAAATGCAAGTGTCGTTAAATCACCACATCGCTAAATCGAGCCCTGACTGTGTATAACGATAACGGTAACAATTGTAAACTTTATTCGAATAGTATTCAACCAGCTTATTTCAACTTACAAATTCCTCAGATTCAGCTTTAACAAATGGTTTCTCGATCAAGACCAAGTGAGACTAGACAATAACAACGACGATAACACGAAAAAGTAAGTTGTTTTCATTCAGTTAATAAAATGCGTAATAATTATTATTACAAATTATAAATTATTACCAATTGATTCGACAACAAGTTCTATAAAACCTGTTTCGACAGTCTCCCCATTTCCTTGACGTTGTCTGAGCATCTTTACGGCATCCATCACATTATGTTGTATGGCTGAGAACACGTTATCTCGCCAGCTAATCAATGTAAGCTATTTCATTTATGATAACAAAAAACAAAGTACTGTCAGCATCTTGGAGAATATGACTTTTGTTAGATGAATAAGTATCATCAATAGAAAACCAACCGTGTAGACATCATGCACTGTTTTATTTCCTTCGTCGATTTCCCTTTTTATCCAATGACGATTGAGAAAACGGAAAGCGTGGTGAACATATGAAGATGCAGTGTTATACTTTTTCCATTGTTTAGTGTAACAGCGTAATAGGCTCTCGTCCGTATATTGTTCTAATTCCTAATTTATATTTAATAGAGAGAGCGAGAGATGCATAAACCGATGTCTATTATTTACGAACACGAAACAAATAGAAAAACAGAGTAATGAATTACCGTACGAATCGGTGTTAGATGCCTTTCAAGATAACTTACGAGACGCGCATAAAGATCACTTCCCTTTAAATATGCACCTAAAAAAGATTTTATACAAAAAGAACAGGAATTCTAAAAAAAATTCAAAAGAAATACGCCCGCTAATATTTCACGAATTAACGATCAAGGGTTTGTATTAATTACTGTTTATTTTTGAGCTTGGTTCAGCTGGTTCCGAAGCAAACCTCGGAGTTGTACAATAATGGTAAACACATCTGCGTCATTAGTGTGAAGTGAAAGAGTTAAAGATAAATAAGTTATGTGTGAAAATTTGACGAGAATTATCATTATTGTCAATATTGTGTGTTTCTTTTGTCTCACAGGAGTATCATAAAAAACAGACAAACGCCGCCTCTCAAAATTATAATAAAATTGATAGTGAATTATTTACTCCTAAGAATACAAAAAATTACCCTAAAAGAGTAAAAAGTAAGGATTCTTTCTACGCTATATCAAGTAAAAACAGGATACGTGTAAAGATCCATATATCGCTTATAGTCAACCCTTTGCTCAGTCCCATTCATAATCTGGTCGATGCCACTTTCAAGAAAACTCCAAGTAGCCTCCAAGTCATTTGGAGACGGAAGTGTCGTTATGGTCGAAGACATTTTTTTCTCTTTTAGAGACAGACAGAAACGACAACAGCCTTCCAAGAGTTTACTGATAATTATTCTTTAAATGGCGAAGGTTTGTCGAAAATTTCCGTCTATTGACGTTTCAATGTTGGATACTATCATTGATAATAACCTAGCCAGATATGAATGAATAATGACCTATTTTTTTGTGCGAAAATACAAATTCAAAATTTTTGAATTAGTAGATCAAATGTTAATTATGTACGTATAAATACAGAGTTCGTAGCATGCTAAAACGTGATAGCTAGAATGATTGAAGTTTAAAATGATTGGCCAATATTTTTATATTTAACGATATATTACTAAATTGGAGCGCGTTTGGATTTTATCAAATAAATCATTTGATTATCGGTTTTAATGATATTCCCACAATTACCGTTAGTTACTTAAGAAAGTGCCTTTATTTTCTACCAACTTATCGTATCCAATCTTATCCATGTCTAACAGTGAAAATACCATTCCAATCGAACTTGGCGTTTCCGGCCATCTATTATTCAGAGTGAAAATGGCGATTCCGACAAACCCATTATTCTGAATAAGGTACAGCGGATAACACTTGCTAGTCTGACTCTATCACAGCAGACCCTATATGAAGCCCTCCCAAATAACTTGAAAGTCAATTATTTGAACACGGTCTCGGAAGTGAGAGAGGAAGGGAGAGTGTGGAAGAGCGCAAAAAATCGGTATGTTTACTTAAATCAATATATATGTATATATATATTTATTGAAGATTTTATACTAAAACTCTATTAGCTCTTTCGTCGTTTGTTCCCAAAAAGTTCAAACTAGGATTTCTCGGTCAATTTCCTTCTCATTTTAAACTAGGAACTCGCAATCAATTTCTTATACACCTTAATCTATCAGAAATATGATTTTAAGCGGGTTGGAGGTGTATCTCTTCGGTTAGACTTTTACATCACTTTACATTTTGGATATTTCTTGGATACCAAAATTTGTTACATATCCCGATTTTAGCTATTGAGTAATAAACCAAATGACTTCACGAATCAACATCTTATTGAAACAGCACATATTATTGGCAAACTCAAATTGTATGCCCTGTAGGCAAAAGTTTCCTTCACTTTTGTTTCAGGATCTTTGCTATATTGCATGCCATTTATTTGATTATTAGTATGAGGCTCTGGAGATTCTAGATTGCCATATTTTAGGATATATATATCCGAGAAATTAGTTATATACGGCCTATCTCTTAAACCAGCTAAAATAGTTGGAACAAAATCAAACAAAAAAATTTTTGTTATAAAAAATTTCAACTAGAACGAACCCCAAAAGCTCGAGTCACATGGCATACTCCACGGCTTCAGGGTGATGTATAATATGTGACCCGAACAAAGAGCACAATTCGTGTCATATGGAATATACTATATTGTATTCTAATTGATCGTAAAGCATCATTTAATCATTAAACAATCCCATTGAGAATGATGCTTGTGAACGTATTAGCTAAATAAAAATCACGTAAAAGAGACAATTAAAGTCTTAAATATAAAATTCAAAAAAACAATTACAACTCTTATTACAGCAAACCAAAGATGACTTTGATTTGGAGATTTACGACCCATGTTGATTTTTTTCGTTTACCAGCCAAGAGCATCATTGATACACTTCTCGTTGTTCTCTTCACTTTGCAAAGTGATCTCCAGGTACTAATTATTGATCTGATAGCTCAAAATGCTTTGTTATTTTTGGTCACTTTGTTTCTTTCTGTGAGTTATTCCTCAATCGAACTTCATCAGCATCATTAGCAAAATTGATAAGATCCAAACAAGCTCATGACAGAATTCTTTGTGCGTCAATCCTAAAGTCCTGGTAATCCAATACGTATTGAAATTCAGTAACCAAAAAAAAAGAGGCATCCAATTTTTCGTGTTGTTTGTTGTGTATTGTAGTATAATTGCAGTTGGTCAGTGACATCCATGCCATTTATGTAGTTATTATGGTCATTAATTATTTTGGGATTTTCAATTTTTTTATCCAGAACCAAACCTTAGTTACGTTAGTACTTGATTCTCTTGATCATTATCTTTTTCACATTACCTCACATTCTTCACCAACAAGATCATGAATCATTGATAACATTGTAATAGGTTCATTGTTCTACCAAAAGATAGTTAATACTCTATTTATTATAATACCAGAATGAATATTCCAATTAAGTTTAATATTTTTATTCACTTTCAATTCTTTTGGAAATCCAGCAGCAGTTTTCTAAATAATATTACAAATACCAATTAAGAATACTTGCTGAAATTCCTTAGTAGTTGTTAAAATTCTGCTGAAATTATAATAAACTATTAATAAATAAAATGCTAAATTCTGCTGAATTTTGAAACCTGACCTGTTGTAACTGAAATTTTATTGAAATTCTAATTAACAATTAGTATATAACTTGCAGAAATATTTCTGAAAAGATTTCAGCAAGTATTCTTAGATCAATATCAATTTGCTGAAGATACTGAAAAAAAGAATATTAGAAAAATAATTATATTATATGAAAATCGATAACATAAAAGTTATTTAATAAAATAAAAAATCAGAAATCCAATTTGATTAAGATTATTTATTTTTTTATACTACTTGAGAAATATGTGAGATTGGTAGGAAAATATAAGTATATTTGTTTTATAAATAATAAAATCTTGAATTTTTCTGGAATTAATTTAATTTTATTCAAATATATAAATATTTTTGTCAAAAAATTGAATTATTATTTTATTTACTAAAATATTTGAGTTTAATATATAAAAATATTTTAAAATATTTCAAATATAAAAGAATAATGACTTTAATTTTTAAAATAATTTTTGATTATTATTACAAAAAAAGAATATTGCTATAGTTACTTTAAATAAAGAATTTCTTTACTTTAGTAAAAGAGTTATATAAGTTGAAAGAGAGAAATAAACTAATAAATTAATTAGTACAAAAATAAATATCTAAGTTTGTATTAATTTTGACAAAAATTATTAAATAACTCTATCAAAAAATAAGAAGAGAGATTGAAAAAGTATGTTCAAAAAATAATTAAACTAATAAGAATTACTAATTAAAACAAATAATATTAATATTTCTATACTTGTAAATATATGTTCTAGTACTTTTAATACCAACAAGAAAATAAAATGTTATATTTAAATCAAATATTTTAATCAAAAATTAAAATATTCAATTCAAAAAAATATATTTCATTTTTTCAAAGTTTAAAAACTCAATAAATAAATAATTAAAAATTTAATTCTAAACAAATCAATATTTAGTTTTTTAATTTTGCTCAAGATTTAAAGTTCAATTAACAACTTATTTTAGTCAAATAACTCTTTTTAATAAAATAAAGATGGAATAAATATTAATAATATAATAATAAAATAATAAAATATAGTTAGTCAACTGTTAGAATAAAAATTAATTTTTTTGAAGTATTAAAAAGAATATATTAAAATAACACTCATATTTATACAAAAATTTTTAATATATATTTGATATTATTTAGATTACAAAATATTATAAAAAGTTAAATAATAATAGAAAAAATATTAGAATAAAAGTAAAAATGATAGTATAAAAATAAAAATAATAATATTAATTTAAAAATAATAATATAGATTTGAAAATAATAATATTAATTTGAAAATAATAGTACTAATTTGAAAATGATAGTACCAATTTGAAAGTAATAATATTAATTTGAAAATAATAAGACTAATTTTAAATCAATAATAATATAGATTTGAAAATGATAATGCTAATTTGAACATAATAATACTAATTTGAAAATAATAGTACCAATTTGAAAATAATAATACTAATTTGAAAATAGTAATACTAATTTAAAATTAATAATGCTAATTTAAAAATGATGATATTAATTTGAAAATGTTAGTATTAATTTTCTAATAATATAATATTTATGTGACTAAATAAGTAAAATATTTTTATTAATTTAATGTTTTTTTATTATTTTTAATTTTTATATTTTTTATTATTTTTAAAAAGTTCTTTAATTAATGAATTTTTAGGAATTATTATAACATTTAATTCATTTTCAAAAATTTTGTTTCACAAAATTTTAAAGATTTTTCTTAATTTCTTGATCTTTTAATTTTTTACTTATTAAATTTGAGTAAAAGTTAAGAGATTTTGTTGTTGAATCTGAATCTCATTATTAAATAATTTATATATATTTTTAGTAATTTTAAAAGATTTTTTTCAATTCAGATTCTAAGAAAAATAATAATTTTTTCTTTGATTTTGTATTGTTATCATTTATATTTCATTGAAGCTTAAAAAATTAATTTTTTAAATCTATAATATATAATTGTTTTTTTCAATTTGATTTATTTTTTAATATATATTTGTTTAAATAATTTTTCAAGTTATGATTTTCAAGTTTCAGATTTGTAAATCTTTCTTTTGGTGTTTCTTCAAGAATTTTTTTATCTTAATTTATTATAGAGAAAGATCTTTCTCTATTATTATTAATTATTAAATTATCTATTATAATTAGTGTTCCTATAAATTGAATTAAATCAGATATTTGTCCAGGTTCAAGATTCAAACTGAACTCAAATCAGACTTTGGCTTGAATTCAAGAAAGGTTCGAAGTTTGAACTAAACTCAAACCAAATCATTATACGAG